GAGAGAGAGAGAGAGAGAGAGAGAGAGAGAGAGAGAGAGAGAGAGAGAGAGAGCTTGGTGACATTGGATCCAGACTCGACATGGGACTTCAGACATTTTGAAGAGGGATTATTTGGGACTTGTAATGAGACTTGGTGTTGACGACTTTCCCATCTCCCCCTTCCTCTTCTTCGTCGGATCCCCTCCTCTTCGTCTGTGTATGTCTGGACCTGGCGCGTCTTTCCTGTGTATAGCGCCAGGCCCCTTCACACCTTGTGATGAGCATGATGTATGTTTGGTCTGCGTTGAAACATTGATTGGGCTAGTCTTTAGTATTCTAGCATTCTGCTTCTCTATCTTGTACTACGTGAAAGGGGTCAGTCCCGGTCAGGTCAGGACTTGTATCTAAAGTCTTCCCTGCGCTATAAAGCACCATTTTGTATGTATCGGAATGCACATTTCTTGTTGGGATTCCACTTGCACTGCATTGTCCATGCACCATTTTGTATGTATCGGAATGCACATTTCTTGTTGGGATTCCACTTGCACTGCATTGCCCAACTGGGCATGTAACATCCACACACCCACACACCCACACACATTGGTGTGAGTTAAGTTGACCACTTTTCTCAGGGGTATGGCTAATTCAGGGTGGCGTGGTAAGTCCTTATCCATCAGTCAAGTGCATCCTGGTCAGACTGTCTGTACAGGTTCAACCGCCTGATGAGTCGGTTGAAAGTCCGATGAAACAGTCTGGCACATTCTTTTTTTTCCCGTGGAGTTGTGCATACAGAACATGACAAGACACATACACACACACACACACACAGAGGAAAGAAACCGACATTGAAATTTAAAGACCTCCTTTTCCCAGTAACAGAAGCAGGATCCAGTCACACAGGTAATCAAACAACGATGTTGCAGGTGAGCATGACTTACCTGGTTGAAGCACTTTTTCAAGTGCTGAACAAAGGTTGTCAGAGAGAGGAGGGCCACACAGCTGGACACCGAGGTATGGATAGGCTAGACCTCACCTGCCTGGGGAAACTGATAAGGTACCCCGTGTACAACACTCCGGGCATGGGGAATTGGGGGGCTCATTCATGGCCTAATCACGGGGCTCATAGGACTATGATAATAGTGGCTCACTCTCAAACTACTCGTACGCCAGGGCGTTATACTTGCTTCAATAATGGCTGTGAGTGTAGCCCTGTTCAGCACTGGTGTCTACAACCACTGTTTGGTTCAGGTTCTTCCGCCTAAGGGTGGGACATTATGATTCCTGAGTGAGGTAGGACAGAGGAAGGGGCCTGCGCTGAAAAAAATGCTGAGGTTGGGGGGAGATGGGGTCTTGTGAGATGACGGGTCATGGATGTGACATAGATTAAAGAAAAGAAAAAAGGTTTTAGAGTTAAGAATGAACCAAACAGAGAAAGTAGTTCTGAGTTGGGTCCAAGATCTGTACTCAGAGTGAGCAACTAGAATCTAGCCTTGTTTTTGCTTTTTTTTCCCAAAAAAAAAAAACGAACCCCTGGGTTCTGCTCCTTTCCATTCTGGGGATCAGCAATCCGGTTCCTACTCCACCGGCAAGTCGTAACAATATTTTTAAAGAAAAAGAA